TCCCACCACTTCCGCCCAGCAAAGCATCCTACTCTTTCATGGTTAATTCAAGGTTTATGTCTCTCCAAACAGGTGAAAATAAATTGACTATCTCTGAATCCAGTATTAGTGACCGGCTTGTCATGTTGGAGTCCTGGGCTGACGATCCTGATTATCTGAAACGTCAAGTTGGTTTCTGTGCCCAGTGGAGCTTAGACAATCTCTGTACGTAGAACTTGTCTTTTATTAAAATGCCGATTTCCATTCCCAAACCCATTTCTTCCAAAGGATCACTGGTCAGTTTGTAATAGTGAGTGAGTCTTTCTTTATAAGGTCCTCTACTGGTAGGTTGACTGTATTCTAGCAGAAAAGCCTTCTAGGGACCCTTCAAACAAGAATTACAGGGAATGCTTCTAATTCTAGCACTCTCCTATTCAAAAGCGCTTACTGGTTTCCTATTTCCTGTGGCATCAAGGCCATTGATCAGATGGCAGGCACTGTCTAATTAGCTTTTCCCAACTCAAACTATCCTCACTGTCCGACGAGCAGGTCCCAAGCATTCCTACCTCCGGGCCTGATCCCCTCAGTTGGAATTCCCTCTTTTTACTCTTCTCCATGTCCCAACTTTGCTCTTCAAAACTCAAGTCACATCTTGTCTACGCAGCAAGCGTCGCTCCTGACGTTTTTCTTTCTCTCCTCCTAGGAGCACTAGAACTAAAACCATACTGCCGCGCTTCGTACCTCCACATCTGTAGTTAGCACAGTGCTAAATTAAAGCTCAGGTTGACCTGTAACCCCCTGCTCCTGCGGCCACATTGTGGGGAGTGGCTTAGGGCACAGCCTGTGTAGTGCCAGTTAAAGAATAATTCTGAAAAAGTACGGTTCAGATTTCGTTGCATGCATAATATAAGCAGACATCTTTTTATTGTGTTTTATTGCAATATTGCTTTATTGCGCTTCGGAGATGCTGCATGTTTTACAAATTAAAGATAGATAAGGCCTTTTACCAGCAAAAAGATTATGACTCACAAAAGAATCAGATGATGGATAGCCTTTTTTTAGCAATAAAGTATTTTTTAATTAAGGTGTGTACATTGGTTTTTTAGACATAATACTGTTGTACACGTAATAGACTACATTATAGTGTAAGCATAACTTTAAAATGCACTGGGAAGCCATAAAATCCGCTTCGTTGAGGTGGTCTGGAACCAAACCCACAGTATCTCCGAGGTCTGCCTGTCACGAAAGCACGAACGTCGCATGGCCTGGTCAATCTCCTGGGAGTGTAGCAGCAAAGCCAGCGTCAGAGGTCTCCCTCCCAGGTGTGCCATGTAGGAGCGTCGCCACTCTAGCGAGGAGGGCAGCTAGACATGACACTAGCTTTTTTTCACAGCAGCCTGTCTTAGAAACATGACCACTTTTTCTCTTGCAGTTTTAAAAGAAGGTAGGCAGCTGACCTATGAGAAAGTGGACTTGAACAGCATTAGGGCCATGCTGAATAGCAACGATGTCAGCGAGTACCTGAAGATCTCACCGCATGGCTTGGAGGTAAAGCTTCTACAGCTGGTCCGTTGGGAGTGAGGGGGGAATCTTGTTCTCATTTTCATGCCCTGGTTCTGAGCAAAAGCAATTTCTTACAGAGTAGATGGAATCTTATTTCATATCGAAATGTGGTTAGAGGCAGGAGAGAGGGTATGCTGGATATTATTTACTCTTTTATATCCCACATAATGCTGGACATACAGGAAGCACGATAATATTTACTGAATTTTTGGTTTAAATATGTCTGTTTTTAAGCTCTGCCATTTTATTCAGCTAAAGCTACAGAGACTAGTATTTCTAAAAGAGACCCTTTTTTTTTTTAAGCCCGTCATAGCAAGTTGTATTCAGTCTAGCGCTTTCCCTCCTCCCTGTATCTTGGAAATGCTGCTGGTTTTGTGGTGAAGGTTGATGAGAGAGCTGCGTATGTGCAGGAAGGTACCACAAGGCACTAGACATGTCAAGATTAGAGAACTGTTCGAAGAAGGGCTGCAAACAGCTCTTTGATCTTACATATTGCCAAATGCTCGATGTAGTTTTCTGCTTTCAGTTATTTTTAGGTGCTTTATCGTATACCCTTCAATATCCTTGTCTCACTCCATCATAACGAGTACAGGTTAAGGCAATGTTCATGTATTTGTAAAAGGCTCTACTGTGAAAGCAAAGCTCTATAAGTATTTAAAAATGAAGCCAGTAACCTTCACTGATTCTTTCTGCAGCCATCTTTGAGGTCTTCCAATCCTGTTAGAACTCCCTGCAAATAAAACTATAAAATAGAGTGCGCTTCATCCAGTTTCGCCCTTTTGTCACTGAGGGTGCACAGGGAAGGAAACAGTAGTCCACCGGAGGCTGTAACAAGGACAAATCCAACCAGCCTTCCGAGCAGCCCGTTACTTTGGTGGTCGTCAGGCGTTGATGGTGGACTCTCATGCCTTTTGGTTTTGCCAGGCTCGCTGTGATGCCTCCTCTTTTGAAAGCGTGCGTTGCACCTTCTGTGTGGATGCTGGGGTGTGGTACTACGAAGTCACAGTGGTCACTTCTGGCGTCATGCAGATTGGCTGGGCCACACGAGACAGCAAGTTTCTCAATCACGTGAGTACTCTAGAGAACTGGGCCAATGAGGGCAGGGCAGTTTTTTGGCGAGTGAGTGGAGGGTGCTTATTTTTCAGATAGATTTACATAATAATCATTTCTTGAGATGAACCACATGGTGCCATATCCCTAACAGTGGCTTGCTAAACTGATGCAGACCTAGAAAACACAAGTGAAATTGCCCCTCAGCCTTTTTCCCCTCGAGTTTTAAGTTCACATTAATTTTCCACTTAGAGGTTGGATGTGTCTTTGTAGGCTTTGCTCCAGCCCCAGCCACGTCTTTGGCTCAGTTCTTATTTTGAAGCCAGTGATCATTTTTACCTCGCATTTAAGCTTTAAGAGCTTTGTAGGAATTCTCTTCCTTTTATTAAATATGAAACGTGGGCTTGACTTCTCTTACTTGATTTTTACCTTATAATTAATAGTAACATTTGTTTTCAATATCTAGTATCTTTCTTCTGTTACAGAAAGCGGAAATATAGAAAGGAAGATAAATCCACTAGAGAAAGCAGGATTGGGCTACCACTACTTGAGTGTGAGAGATTGGGGCTCCTCCCTTTCCTCCAGGTGTTGATTTCTTGCCACTTTATACCCATGTAATGCCTGGCCCAGCTGGCTTTCTTCTGTTGTTCAGATTATAAGCTATTGAGAATTAATCCAGTTTTGATCAGGACTATTTTGTGGACATATGATTTATTTTTACCCTTTGGACTGGGAAAAGCCCCTTGGATTATTTCATTAACCTAAATAAGTTTCCCATCCCACATGTAGGGTCCTAGGATGGATTTTAGAAGTGATCCAACAAAATCAAACTAAATTTCTTTGCCATAAGTATAGTTTCAGAAGAGCCCTTTCAGAAAGACTGTTTAGCATCCCAGAATTGTTCATGGCATTTTACTAAGCTCCTTGCTGGAGAGAGGTAAATTGGAGGAAGAAGGCTGGTAGAGAGGTCAGGTCCGGCTCCTGTCCATGATGGAGAAACCAGACTCCCGTCTCCTATTGCTTTTGTTGGGAATCTTCCCTGATACAGGGCCTTTAGTCAGCCCGGCCTCATTTAAAAGCTGGAAGTGTGGGACTTTATTGTGGCTCCACATAGTCAGAAGTAAGCGGGTCTGGAGAACAATGCCAGTTAGTCTCTTAGTTCCCAACATGGGCACTGATTTAAAGCAGATAGTACCAATTACACTCACAGACTGCCCCCAAATGATGTCTTAAAGATGATTTTTTTAGGACTTTAAAAAAAAAAATCTTAATTTCCAGAGCACCTTCATTTCAGTCTATCATCTGATTCTCACAACCATTTTTACTGTCATAATTTGCATTTCACAGATGAGAAAACTGAGTCAAAGTAGGACATAAAGAAACTAGCACAAAAATTCAGTCACTTTCTATTCTACAATAGTTGTTTTCTTTGCATTTGAAAATGGTGAGAATCTGAGAGAACTAGCTGATCTCATAACAGAAAAATTGTTCCAGAATTAGAAGAAATAGAGATTCCTCTGGTAAGGAAGCCTTGATATAAAGTTTGTCTCTCCTGATTTGGCAGCAATAAGTCTAGGTGTGTATATCTGAGACCGAATTTTTTTAAATCACCAATGAAGCTAGCTCATTTTATCTGGTGGTTGAAGATTATTTCTGCCATGTAGTTGCAGAAACTTTAGCTCTTCAAATTAAGAGGCATAAAATGCTGCTTTACCCTCTAAATTGCTTGATACTTGATAGATTGTTAATTTCTTTCTTTAAAAAACAAAAAACATTTTTCCCTGATCCAAGTCAACTGGCCAATTCCCTGTTAGAAATTGGTAAAATCTAATGTATCTTTTCTCAGATGTAGGGTTTTAACGATGTTGCCATACTTAGAACTTTGCTTCAAATAGACATTGTTCTGGTGATTCAGAACCATTTTGTCTGTACAGACAGGGTGTGGTTTTATGGAATAAGTCATTCCTAGGATACACCCAGTTTCTAAAGATTTGAAATCTGTCCATAGTGCCTCTTATTTTCTCTTAACACTTAGCCTTCAGTTTTCAAAAGGTGATCAAAGCATTGGGCTTGGAGATAGAGCATTAAAATTAAAACCTTGAGGATAGTTGTTCAGGTCACCTCCAGAACAGTTTGTTGTGATGTATATTTTTACAGGGGTTTGGGAGTAATGAGTCTCCAAGGGTGCGTTTCGACTTGTCTAAAATATCTTTTGCCTTTTCATGAACATCTACCATGTGACAGACCTTTCACATACTCATCTCTAATCTTTTTGAGAGTTTGGGAAGGTGGCATTCTCCCTTTTAAAGATGAAGGAATGAATTCAGAGTAATTAATTTAGAAACTTACCCAAAGTCACCCAGCCTCCAGGTGCTGGAGAAGAATTCAGACCCTGGTCAAGATAGCCCGAGCTCCTTCACCTGTTGAAGCCTCTTGCCTTAGATAAAATGACTCTTGGTAAGCAGAATAGGAATGACTTGGAAGCTTATCAGGGCCTCCCAGACCGTTGAGGGGTTTGAGAACTAGACAGGCTCCAAGGCAACGTCCAAGGCTGAGAGACAGGAATTACAGCAGCCAGTGTTTTGGGGCCAGGACGCCAACACTGCTGCAAATCAGACCTAACCATCCTTCCACGTGGGGTCACTCACCACACCAGGTATGTGATGCGAGGGTCCAGTTGGCCAAGCCTAGGTCATCCCTTACCCCTCTACCTCCAGAGCAGAACACTGTACCTTCATTACATTCCCCATAACAGAAAAGGGTTGAGGTGCTGGACAGCAGAAAAAAGGATGGCGTTTACCACATGTAGAAGGATTCAAAATATTCTCCAAATGACAAGCTATGAATAAACTTTCTTTGTTATTAGTAATGTTTCCATTACTAAAATATACATGACCGGAAACAGGCAGCTCAAGCTAACACCCTGTTCTCTTGTTTATCTGTCTCAGCCAAGGGAAACCATAGGTTTTGTCATGCTGGGAATGTTTTCAGGTTGAAGGAGAGTGTAGTACACCTAGATTGCTCTCTGAGCTGTGAACTCAAAGTGCATCTCTGCTTGGCATGGGCACCTACTTCTTAGCCCGTGGAAGGTGATCTATAGTTAAAATGATTAGTTTCCCCTTTGTCCCACAATGCCACTCTTGTGAAATTTATCGAGGCATAGAAAACTTTGCATGGTAAAGTGTGTTCTTAACAACTTTTGGTGGCTAGTAATCTAGGAATTTCTTTCAAGTGTTCTGTCGAGGACTTTATAGGACATTAGAAAGTTCAATAGAAGTAATTGCTTGCCTTTTGCCTATGCCGTGACACCCATAAAATAAAAAACAAGTTTTTTTACTTCTTCAGGCTTTGGAAGGGGTAGATAGCAAGGTATTCTTTCTGATAGATGGGTGAGTTTCTTCTCAGCCTAAAGGCAATTAGAATCAAGTTCATTTAACTCTTAAATAGTCTGAATAGTGCATTCAGAACAGCTAAGTCAGAAGCTTCAATTTGGAGAATACTCATCCAAATTCAGTATCTTACAGGTCAAGAATTTAATATATTGTAGCCAGAGTCAGAAATATGTTAGAGCCTTTTTTCAGTCTATCTCCTCACTGCATTTATCCTGTAGAATAAGCAGACCATCACCAGAACCTGAGATCTTACTTAGATTGGCCTACATTTTCAATTCTTTTCTCCATTAGAATCGTTCACCCTTGACCCTTAAAGATAGCCATTGTCTGATTTGCATGCTTCCTGTATTTTATTTATAATTTTTATTATTATTTTTATAAGCACTCAAAATAATTTCTTAAGATTCCATCCATCTTTTTATTTTAATAATAAAATAATTGTGAGATAATTATAAGGCAGTAAGTGATAAGCTGTCAAGGACCTATATGTTGCTCAAATTGAGCTGATCTCAAAATAAGTATTAGCCGATTGTCCACTGTAGTCTTTCTCTTGCCTCCAGTTTTGAAATCTGTGAGCATGTGGGTGTTTTGAAGTCTACTACATGCAAGAAAGGTGTTTGTCCCGCAGCAGTGAAGTGGAAAGCACACCAGTCTGGGAATTAGATGATTCCAAGGTCCAAACTCGACTCTCTTAGTAATTTGTCTTTAGGCAAGCCGGTTGACCTCTCTGAGCCTTTATTTCCTCTTAAAAATGGAGTGTAATGCCACCAGCCTCAAGGTGGTTAGTGAGAATTAAATGAAGTAACATATGTGAAAATTGGTCAATGTTTGTTGGTAAAGTCATCATCTGTTCTAGGAACTAGGCCTCCAAGTCAGAATTTTATATCTTCTAAAAACCATAGGCTCTCCCTTCATCCGGAAAGCTTAGACTTCCAGCCACCCAGTTGATGGTTAAGAAAGACACACTCTCTTTTCCTAGAACACAGCAGGCCTTGCTAACCTCCTGGGCTCTGTCTCCCTTCAGGAAGGCTATGGCATTGGGGACGATGAATACTCCTGTGCATACGATGGCTGCCGGCAGCTAATTTGGTACAATGCTAGAAGTAAGCCTCACCTACACCCATGCTGGAAAGAAGGTATTCATTCCTCTCCATCAGAATTTATCGACTAGGTTAAGACATTAGGTTATTATGAAGCATCTATTATGTTAGGTCTTAAAACGTTTAAATGGAAGTATATGAAATGTGAAAAGGATTAGCCTTTGTATCCCCCTGCCATGGATGTGAATGGTATTCTCCTGGTAAATTCACCTCTGGTGCCTCTAGTGGAGCTCTTCCTTCAACAAAAGCATCTCAGAATATAAAATTCTTAATTTAGTGGGAAGTGATCATCTTAAGGTTAATGTGAATTCTAATTTCCTCTCTGGGTATATGTTTTGAATCAAAGCAGCCATGGAGATTTTGAAGATAATGAAATTGTAATGCCAGTTAAATGAAGATGTTTTCAGAGACCAGATAGCTGTGGAATAGGCACTATTCGGTGGCCACCTTCTGGGCACCTCTAGAGCAATTTTTAAGGATAACTTGAGCTCTTTCAGCCTCACACACATCTGCCTAGCCTTCATTCTTCAGACGTCAGGCTCAGGATGCTGAAGCGGGCACAGGCTACCAGAACTCTCAATCATGGCTCTCAGATTTCTTGCAGGAATATATATCTTAGCAACAGCACGATCTTTTTCTCCCTGTTCAGTTTTTGTTCTATCCAGTTTGCGGTATCTATGGCCTTAGACCCATGAAAACATTTATTAATGAAAGATTCAAGCAGCAAAGTTTGAGCCACACAGTTGGTTTATTAAACACAGACCGAAGGATTTAAGGTTATTGAGTCCTTTTACCTCCAGTTAATTACAGCGCAAATAGGCCTTTCCTGCCGCGGCACCATTGTACCAGCGGATGGTCTTCTCGGGGCCTCCTGGTGCCCCCCACCAACCCATTCTGAAGACATAGGGTCATATGTAGGGAACGGTGCCTCTGGAAAGATTGTATTCCCAACATTGGAGCTAGGCAGGGGATAGAGTCCAGCTCCTTCTCCAAGCCTTCTCTCCGCTTCCTGCCACCATCAGCATCATAGATGTAACTGGATTTTCAGGCATGCCAGGGGAGCAGGGTTTGACCACTGCTGCATGGGCACAGCTCCACTTAATTAACTAAACTGATAGTGTGGGAAAGGAAAAAACCTTAAAAGCCAGCACAAGGCCTCATTTTAATGGCTTGCAGGTTCTTAAAGAAACATGAAACTGCGTTTAACAGAGCATACGATAGAAGCTCTGTCTGTAAAGACTGTCTAGTGTGGTTTCTTAGTAATTTTTAAAAAGATTACTGTAGTAATGTTTATTATAAAAATTGGAAAATAGGGGAAAAAGCAAAATGAAACTAAAATCCCTTATAATCCATCCAGAGATTTCTTTTCTTAAAAACACTTAAAATTTGATATATATATTTTTTGTTGTTATACTTAATATGCCTTAAATAGCTTTCCAGGTTATTAAATAACAGTATTTTAATATTTTTTCAATTTATTATTATATAATTGTACTATATTAATCAATGCCTCAAGGTTAGATAATTATATTTTCGCCTTTTTATCATTATTACTATAAAAGAAAAATTATAAACCATTCTGAGTTTTCTCAGGATAAATGCTTAGAAGTGAAACTTATATAGCAAGGGAGAAAAAAGATTTCATTTTTGAAATTCCCGTGCTATAAATCACTGTGTAATTTCATGTGTTTATCTTTAACAGTTTAAAAAGCAAAAATTTTATGAGTGAAGATGAATCCTTTTTTTAAACATGCTTTTGGGTAATTGTTACCCTAGGGAATTTTAAATCTCCAGAGAGGCAAAGAAGCACATAGTTTTGATCTTACCATATTTCACTGATCCTAAAATGCACGTTTTTTTCACATTTTTAGCATCTCTGAAATTGGGATGTCTCGTATAATGGATGGCCCGTCATAGATTAATTGGTAGCATTTTCTTTTTAATGGTTCATATGCTACTGGTATGTAGGGGTCAGATCAGTTGCAGAAGAAGCTAGAAAGTTGAATATGTTGAATCCAGGGCTACAGTACAGACTCAATACAGTGACATCAAAACTGAGACACTTAGCAGAATCCTGGTAATATACACCCGTATCCTAACAGTGTTTCACTTTATTCTGTAGGAGATACGGTAGGATTTCTGTTAGACTTGAATGAAAAGCAAATGATCTTCTTTCTAAATGGCAGCCAGCTGCCTCCTGAGAAGCAAGTCTTTTCATCTACTGTGTAAGTAGCTTTTTTCAGTCAAAACTTTTAGGAGATGCATGGAATGTACTTTACTCCAGAAAAAACTGTCCATTTGTGTAGTCAGTTGTGATGAGAAATCACTTTATTTCAAGTAATTGGGGACCCATTTGATTGTACCTGAAGGTGTCCCAAAATTTGAACTAGGAAGCTGAGGGCAGGAGACTGGTTCACAGTCCTGTCAGGGTTATGAACAATCTATCACCCTTCTTTTCAGCTAGGGTGTGACCCATCCCAATTCTGAGAATGAGCTTTACTTTGTTTGTATGAGTTCTCTTGACCTCTGTACTCCTTTTTATCTGTAGATCTGGATTTTTTGCTGCAGCTAGTTTCATGTCATATCAACAATGTGAGTTCAATTTTGGAGCAAAACCATTCAAATATCCACCATCTATGAAATTTAGCACTTTTAATGATTACGCCTTCCTAACAGCTGAAGAGAAAATCATCTTGCCAAGGTAAGGACTCTGCCAGGCTATCTCCAGACTTCCACGTGCGTCCCGTGAGAAATTACAAGTTTCTAAGAGACTTTTTTCAGCTTTATACAAATAATTTTGAAACCCTGAGTAAAGTAGTGACTTCCTAGGAAATATAAATTACTAAACCACATCCCAGAAGAGACATAGACAAAGTAATTATTAAAAAATTAATTGAAAAGAAATTAGGAGCTGTGTTCGCAAAAAGCACCAGACCCAGGTGGTCTCACAGGAGCCACCAAACCTTCGAGTCACAGATAACTTCACTGCCATTTATCACAGAACCCAGAAAGAAAGAGTACTCCCAAATAATGTTTATGAAATAAACAACATTGTTGTTAAAATCAGACGGTATTACATGTGCACATACACCAGAAAACCCCTGCCAACTTCGATTAAGTGTCGATGTAAAAATCCTGAATAGTAGGAAATCAAGTGCATCTTTTAACAGACTTGGGATTGTTGAAACAGACTTCTTGTTGGGTTTAAGCCATGTGGCAAACCTGCCCACACTTCTACAGCCATTAAGATGGGGATGCCATCTTGGATAAAATTTCACAGCCCTTATTTTTCAAAACTGATTGGCATTAATTGTCTCGTCGGCTAAATGCCTGCTTTTCTTCCTCACGAGATGAACACAGTCTGTTCCTTAAGCTGGGAAAGACTCCAGCTGCTTCTTGGTAATTACTTCGAGTTGGAGCTTGTTTCACAATATGAGCCAAAGTTTATCATTTTCTACCAGAGCAGCTTCCTGGGCCTGTGTGGGGAAGGCATTCCAGTTACTAATGCCACATTTGTTATATGAGTGACAGTCTCTCAGCGGTGAAGGAGACCACCCTGGTCAGGGTGGAGCCTGTGTCGGGCCATCATGCCCCTAAAGGTACCTATAAAATAAGTTATAATCCTAGCTCCTGTTTTGGCTCAAAAAGCAGGTCTGTAAACAGCTTTGTGCTTCAACTTAGACTCAGTATCTCAGGGCTCGAGAGTGGCTCTGAAGTTTCCAGATAAACTAGAAAATGTTGCATAGTGACAGCAGCATTGCTTGCAACAGCAGAACCTCCAGAATATCCCAGACAGAAAGACTGGCCACTTACATCCCAGCTCAGGGACCTGAGGTTCATTCCTAGAACTTCCCTTCACCTTGTCTTTGTTGCTTGACAGAGATTCTGGACTTTAATTCCTCCTGCGGAAAGTCTGAAGTGGCAGCTCTCGCATCTGCCATACCCCATTACCTTTTCATTTAGCCTGTCTTGAATGCGGCGCGTAAGTCCGCTTCTCACATACACCTAGAAGGGTGTGACCAATCCATCAGAGAGTTCCCCTAGAGTCTGGCCTAGATTAAAACTGCTCCAGCGTTTAGTTAACTGCCCCTGCAGAACTGGACTTTCCAAAAGTTAGATGGCAACAGGCATCAACTACCGGCAAGTCTCCTCTTATGGACAGCTTCTGGGTCCTCCCTCAGTACCACGTCAGTTCAGCACCGAAAGTGCAGCCTGCCTTGAATAAAAACAGCAGAGTTACAGTCTAGGGCAGTCCAGTGCTACATAGACCTTCGTCTCTGACAGTGACACCAAGACAGGAGTTGTCGGAGGCTAATTGAGTGTCCTCCTTAATGCCAACCTCCTGCCGGTACATACCGGTCACACTTAATTAGATTGTGGCATTAAGTGTTAATGTGCCCAAGATGGTTTTCTATGCCGTTAATATTTTCAGCTTGTGTTCCAAAAGCTGTATTCAAGGATACTTTTTACTCAGTGGCACAGCACTCCTTCCTGGCTTGAGGATAGGGGACCGTGGCCCTTTACTACCTGGGATTTTATAGATTGTTCTATATTGTGTGTACTCTCTGTCTCTAATTCATCTCCTTTCATTCATTCTTTTTTCTTCTTAACCTTTTTATTATGGCAAACTTCAAATACACAAAGAAAAAAAGAATAGTTCAGTGAAGTGCCATGTACCCACCTCTCGGCCACAAGAGTCATCCACGTGCAGCCACCTGCTTCTCCAGTCTTTCTTCATCTCTGTTAATACCTTATTATCATTCCGGTTTCCCTGGCCATAATCCTGGACTGTCCTTGACATCGCACTTTCTGTCATTCCCACATTCAATCTCTCAGCAAATCGTGCGGGCCGTGTCTTCAAATTATATCCCAAATCCAGCTACTACATATCATCTGTCACCATGGTCAAGGCCTCCATAATTCCTCACCTGGGTTATTTTGCCATGCCTTCTAACTGGTCTCCCTGTTCCTGCCTTGACCCTCTTCAGTCTATTCAGCACAGCCTCCAGAATGATTTTGTTACAGCTTAAATCAGATCGTATACTTCTCTGGTCAGAATGCTTAGTGGCCTCCCATTTCACTTAAGGTAAAAGCTTAAATTCTCGCAGTGACCTACCTTGTCCTACAGGATTTGTCCCCTCCTTTCCGTTACTTCTATTACTTATCTCCTACCCTCTTCCATTTGTTCATGCTTCTTTAGCCACCCTGGCCTCCTTACTGCTCCTAAAACATACTGTAGTTTTAAACTTTTAAACATTTAAAACACACCGAAGTCTATTGTAGCCTCAGAATCTTTGCACTTGCTGATTCTGCAGCCAGAATGGTCCTGTTTGTGTTTTCCAACACCACTAAGCAATAATTCAATTCTGGCACTATCTACCTAGAGAGAGCATCAGATCCCACAGGTTAAGGCCTGTCATACAAGACTGCTCTTCTCCCCGATTTTAGATGCCAATCAAAAGTCCAGGTTGTTTCCTGTGCATCTGACCAACCAGCTATAAATAAAAGGTTCCCACAGCCCCCTCCTTGTGATTGATCAATTTGCTAGAGCAGCTTACAGAACTCGGGAAAAGTTTACTTTATAGATTACTGGTCAATTGTAAAAAGGATATAACAGGAACAGCTAGGCAGAAGAGATGTATAGGGCAGGTTATGGGAAAAGAGCTGTCTGAAGGCGGAGAGATACTTTACTAGTCCTCTCTTCACTGCAGAATTGCTAGGGCTCGGAACAGCGCCTGGCCCGTAATGAAGCCTCAGTGCTTGAAAGAATGCCCCCTGTTCCTCTTGCCCACACATCAGGGCTGTACCTTCAGCAGTGTGGCTCTGCCGACTGCTTTTCCACTCCAGACTGAGCAAAAGTGCAAGGCAAGGATTCTACCCTGGGGTGTCTAGACCTCCAGGGAGTCTGCGATAGGCTATCATAACACCTTGAAATTGTATAAAAACGTGTATGTACATTTTTCTTGGGAAATACTGTATGCTTTTCATCAAACTCAGAGATGTGTGCCTTAAAAGGTTAAAAATTTGCTGGTAAAATAAAAAGCACTGGACTTAGAATTAAAAGATTTGAATTTGATTCCTGAATCTGTTTACTGTATGTGACCTTATGCAAATCAACTCCTTAAACTATTTGTACAAGGGCAATGACCATGCCTCCTTATTCTAAAATGGAGTCCAGTGATTTTGAATCTCTATAAGAGTGAAACGAGATGTGCGCGAAAACTACTGAACAAAAGGAATGTCGACGCAAGAACGTCCAAACCTATAGAAATATTTTATAAGAGTTTATTAGAGTTAGAGCCAAACTGAGGACAAGACTGGAATATGTCAACAGATTGAGAAAATGCTCAGGAGAATGGCAGTTTTGCAGGGGTTTTTTATGCATTTAGAATCAAAAGAGAGAAGTAAGGAAGATACATGAAATCCATTGGTGATAGATTACGGAGGCCGGAATAAGCAAGGTGGGGGGGCGGGTTTCTAAGATTGGTGGGTACAAGATACTTAACATTTAACATTTACAGTAAGTACAGATGGTGTGTGGGCACTAGGATAATAAAGAGGAATTTCAGATGCTCCACCCAGTGCCTCCCAGGGGTTATGCCTCCCAGGTGTTTGGAAAAGATTGTCTGGCATTTCAAAGGTGCATCATCCTAGATGCCTAAAGCAGGGGCGCTCAAGGCAAAGATTAACCTTTTACTAAGGGAGCTGTAGGCCTGGGACTAGACTGCCCACCTTGACCTGCCCAGTTAGGAATTTATGATCAGATCACCCTGTGTGATTACATTCCGTCACTGAGCTTGTCAGGCCTGCTGTGTGGCCCTCTGAGCTTGTCAGGCCTGCTATGTAGTCTTTTTTCGTTCACTATGCTTTCAGAGCATTTTCAAAGCATTTCTTACACATCACTGCTAACAGACCCCATTGATTTGTTGACAAACTGTGTTTTCTACTCAGGCACAGGCGTCTTGCTCTGTTGAAGCAAGTCAGCATCCGGGAAAACTGCTGCTCCCTGTGTTGCGATGAGGTAGCAGACACACAATTGAAGCCATGTGGACACAGGTAAGAGGGTTTGTTTGATTATTTCCTGTTTCGTACATCAGCCAAAGTTTCATCCATTCCGTTCCTGAATTGCTTTAAAGTGTCGTCATTTCCATAGCTGTTCATCAAGGTGGGCTGAGTGAGAAATTAGAACTGCCATGTAATGCATGGCTGCCTTCCAGAATGTGCCTGAAATATAAGAAGCCGCTTTATATGGAATGCCCGTGTTTTCTCAATACTATATTTTTAATAGTTTTCACGTCACAAAATGTAAAAGGTTTAATGCTATTTATGAGCTTCTTGGGAAATCTCTCTTAGTCTTAGGCCTCCTCATATGCTCACCACCTACAGCCCTAACCACTGAGGAGGCAGTGCCTCCCTGCCATCTAACCAGATTTCAGTTGTGTGAGATGAACTCAGAGAGCAGCCTGGATGCTGTAGAACTGAGTGGCTAAACAGCGAGACCAGCGAGTGGGCCGGTCCCCGAGAAGGGCATCCCAGCTGGAGTTAGGCAAGGAGCTGGCGGCGTGCCGGCCCGGCCTGGGCCAGGCGCGTGCTGACTGAACCTGAGCCATTCCCGTGCTGATGTTCCAGGCCAGCTCCCCGTAATTCATCACAGTTCATACCCCGCCTTACTCTTATTTGTGACATAGCTTTAGCTACCAGGTCTCCTAAGGGTCCAGAGCCTAGAGTGATGGACCCCAATTTGTCACCCCCAGGTATGGCTCAGCTTGGGCCCCTGGGGACTCTGCTTCTACTGGTCTGCTGTGTTTTGAAATGGCTTGTTAGCTGATCGGCTACTAGGGGAAGTGCATGCAATTTATCTCCTGTTGTCCTTAGCTGCACCAGTCTGTCTTCTGAAGGAAAGCACAGTGGCTCCGGCTGTGGTTTTCCTTGGTATCAACTGCGGCCCAGAATTCCTCATTTTAGCCCCTTTGGAGGTTTTAGTTTCCAGGACCTCAAAGGCAGACACAGACTTTAAATGTTGGATATCTTGATACCCGTTGGTCTCTGTTTCTGTAAGAACGTTGAGATCCCGAACAGCAGGATCTGGTCTTACTCATCTTCGCGCTCTCAGACCCTTCTCGGTGGTTTTTGCACACAGTCAGGGTTTGTGAATGAAAGCCGAAATCTAAAACCTTAGAGCCAGGCACCTAAAGTATGAGCAGTCTCCTTAATACAAAAATCCAAAACGGAGTTGGAAGAGGAAATTAAAAGAATTCCAAGAAAGTTAGCTTAACTTTCAGCAGCCACAACAATTTTAAAAGGGTGGGGGTAAAGAAGGGAAGTCCGGAGAAATTAATGACACGAAGAGACCTCAGGAAGAGATGGGAATCTAATTCCTCTTCCCACAGAAGAAACCGAGCTGTTATCGAAGCTCCCTTTGCCCTCCTCCCCGAAAGCACTAAGCAGGTGGTTTCACAGGTGAATTCTTTCAAACATCTGCAGAATAGATAAGATTCTATTTAAATTTCTCCAGACCATGGAGAAAACAGGAAAACTACCATATTCTTTTCACAAAGCCTGCATGATAATCATACCAAAAGCTGATAAAGAAAACTTAAGAATATAAATTTAAAAATCTCAGGTATTAATTAGCAAATAGGACCCAGCAACACAACCTAAGGGGCGGGAAGGGGTGGGGGGCGGCGCTGCTTATCTCAGGAACGCGGGGATGGTACAATGTAGAGACTCTATTAATGTAATTTACTCAAATAGGCCAAGGGGGAGAGGTACAAGGAATCACCACTTTCTTTAAAAATGCTGCAAAGGCACTTGTTAAAATTCAGTATCCATTCCTCATGGATGGAGGGAAGAAACCTGTATAAGATAGGAATGTGTGGATACTTCTTTAACATTATAAACACATATACATCTTAACCAAATGCTAGCATCTTTTTAATGTGACACACTGGAAGCATTCCAAGAGATGTTGTGGACAAGGCAAGGCTGCCAGCTGTCAGCACCATGACTTGCATTGTACAGGCTAAGGCGGTTAGCCAAGAGAGAAAAAAGGAGAAAACTGGAAAGAGGAGCAAATCATCATTTGGAGATTATATACCTGGGCACCAAGGGAATCGACTGAAAACCTGTTAACATCAGGGTGACAATTGAATAAGCTCGTTGGTTACAAAAAAGCAGTAGATCATCTATGTATGAATAGCAGCCAGTTAGAACATATGATTGATTCATTTTACAATAGTCAAAGTGGGGAGGCTATCTGAGAATACATACCAAGAAATTGTGGTACTTATATAAAGAAAACTTAAACTACCAAAGAATGTAATAGAAGACTTGAATAAATAGATCTATTCTGGGATAGGAAGACCTCTCACTATTGTTAAGTGATGATTTCCCCTAAACCCTAAGTTTAATTTAGTCCATATAAAAAGGGCAACATGATTTTTTTGTTGTTGTTCTAGAAATAGAAATGTCAAAAGTTCATGTGATACTAAGGCAAGAAAATTTTGAAAAATAAGGGGTATAGGGGGTCCTACCCATGGGAGGGAGACTTATTTATTTATAGAATTACTTACTTTTTTAGCCATTATTACCTTTTCAAGTAACAAGCTTACGAGTTTACATTGAGTCAGCAGTGGTGGTCAGTTTGACCTTTTGAAGTGTTGACCTAACATATTTATCTTTCTCCTCAGTGACCTGTGCATGGATTGTGCCTTGCAACTGGAGACCTGCCCATTGTGTCGTAAAGAAATAGTGTCTAGAGTCAGACAGATTTCTCATATATCATGACACACATGAAGAGGCATCATGGACTTATTTCTACTCAGTTCCAGCCAATGTTGAAAAGAAAAACAGAAAAAAAAAAAAAACCATCTCTAATCAGTTGTATGCACATTGAAACTTATAGCCATGGCCAGATTTTATGCTAAAAAATGGTAGTTTGTCAAGGACAAAATTCTCTTAGAATCTAACCCAACTTGCCAGCCCTGAGAAATTCCTTTTAAGGCCAAGGAAAGCTGAATGCTAACAAGCTAGGCCTGCGGTATCCTCCATGAAAAACAGTAGGGGACAGTCAGCGCCCTCCTGAGAGCTGAAACCACACCGGAATTTTCCATGTTGGGTTCATCTGATTGTTTAGCATAGGAGGTTTTGTCTCATTTTCTAAAGTTTTATTTTGGACAGACGTCATTATGGAGAAGTTTAAATGACAGCATTTCTGGGTTAAATATAAATTCCCATTGGTCAGAGATACTGGTGTGTTAAGCGCAGATATTGCACTGCAAGACTTGAATCTATAAAACTGGGATCACACAGGTCAATACTACAAGCAACATGGAGGGCCTGAAAGAAGGTGCACAGACTGTAGAAAAAAACCCAAATTTTTGATATTTCACTGATTCCAAAGAACATTCTAGTTTTTTTTAACTGCAGAAAATTGCTGGTATTTTCACATTCATGGTATTTCTATCCAATTTCAGTACCCACATTTTGTGAGGAAAAAATGTTTTAACAATGCAGGAGGAGTTCTTAAATTAATTGCTATGTTTGGAGAAAATTTGGTATTTAGGGTATTTTTAAGGTACCATCAAATCAGGTTTTTTGTTTTTTGTTTAAAAAAATTTTTTTTAATCAGTATTGTTCTTGGAAGTAATATACTTTGAAACTCTTGAACTCTAATAGTGTCATAAACTCTTAGAGGACAGTCTGAGAGCACGTATTCGTATTGTTTTAAATAAATACATGTTTTGAATAGTAAATTCAATCATGGATTATTGACTATGTCTTCATCAAAAGTGTTAATCCCTCTCAGGGTCTCTGGTGAAGACCTTCAAGAGTTTTGTTTTTTTCTCCCAGAAAATTGGAAGGTAGAATTGTAAATTCATAGAACTTATTTTATAATGGTGTACCTCAGCAGCTGCCTTTCAATTTATGCCAAGTCCTTACTGAGTTTATACTTGAATAGTAAATATGTCTTCTGAGTTTTACAGTGTCTTAAACTCAATGCACATTTTTTCTTCCTTTCCCACCCTTCCTTGTTTGTAGTTCATTAAACTGTCCTATCACAGAGCTGATTTCCTTCCTGGCCGTACTTGTTGGGGTGCTGGACTTTTTCCATGTCTTTAGTCTTCCATAAAATTCAAAAATATATATAAATATATATATATATGTTCTCTAGCTTGTGGTGAATACAGTAATTTGCATTGAAGAAATAAATTGCCTTTTTTGACTAAGATTTCACAATTTTCATTGATGCCTGCTGCTAAGGTTCCAAGACATCACACTCTCAGGTTTAAGGGCTACTTTCCAGGATAGGTGAGAAGCAAGTATTAGAATTAAGAAGCAACGTTACACTTACCCAGCAAATCTTTATTGAGCACCTAATATGTTCTGGGCATCGTGCCTATGTGTACTTGTGCCTATTGTGCCTATTGCTTACATGTGGTTGTGGGGAGAAGACAACAGATTTGTGTTTATTGTAATGCGTTATTAGTGCCTTGAAAGAAAAGAATAGGGCGCTATGAGAGAGAATGAGGGGGACTTAATTTAGATGGCAGGGTAGAGGAGGGTAGAAGAAACCTCACTAAGGAAGTAGTAATAGTAAAAACCCAAAGGAAAAAGTAAGACGTGGCCAGGCAGAGAGACTAAGAACAAGCTTCTAGAACTAGGTAGCCTCATAAACAATCTTATAGGCAAATTCAAGAGGAAGAGAGCTCAGTGGGCTCCATGATCTGATGGACGGCCCCCTGCAGCTAGTAAGGGAGGAATGAGTGGGTAGAATTGCATGCTCCGGTGGTGGAGAGGTCCAGGGACTGCTCAGGAAGCCATGTTAAGGATTTTGTATTTTACCCTAAGTGCAATAGAAAGTAAAGGAGTTTGAGCATGGAAGTGCTTTGATAGTTTTTTTAAAAGATGGCTGTGGCTTCCATGTGGAGAATGGAGAGGGAGGAAGGGGCAGGAGAGAGGACAAGCAAAAAATGGAAGTAGTAAGAACAGTAAGGAGACTGTGAGGGAATCTAGCAGAGAGGTGAAGGTCTATAAATTCGGGAGAGATAGAGAAAAATAAATGGAATTAATAGGTAATCTGTCGGACCCTCTTAGCTTTCTAGATCGCTATCTGCCCTTGAACTTTCACATAAGATGGTCTGCTTTTCCAGTTCTTTCAGACCATAAAACAAGATTTTAATATTAAATTATTCATTCAGGACAGAAGCAAAGTTGTAATCTTGGAGCTACTTCAAAGGGAAAGACCTTTATTCCACATAGAAGAGAAAAAACTAGGGATTAACAAGCTATGTGGAAAAGAATAAACAGTAATCTATGTTCTGCACTGCTTGTAAGCATTTTAAGAGAAGGTGAAAGCCAGGCTTTTACTGATATATTGTCCCAGAGAGAGAAAAAAAAAAAACATTTAGTTTTTATTTCCCAGAAATATCTCCAGGATTCCAGCCCCACCCCAAAAAACTGTTTTTAATGAATTGCTCCCTTTTTTGAATGATAGTGATAAAGTAAGGTCATAGTGTCATTTGCAGAATGTCAGGAAACAATGGTTCAATCACAAAAACCAAAACAATTTCACTGGCAGAAAGTGATTTGCATGAATTTCAACTATCTTGAATACGTATCTGTGAAAACCAAGATAGTCCATTTTTTCTATTAAAACAATTCTTAATGCTTACCCAAAAAATATTTAAGAAATGGAAAACATTGAATACAGTCAAGTAAAAAAATACATATATATTCAAGTAAATTTTTAATTTTTCTACAAAAAGGCCACCATTCTATTTTTGCAGAAAAGTAATATGTTCTGATTCCCAGGAGTTTTGTTTGGCAACTCAAGGACCGGGGCCATAAATACATAGCATGATGATTAAAACAGAAACGAGAGTGAGCCTGAACTGAACCCAGGTTCCAGCCCCAGGATGCCACTTATCATCAATATGCAAGTACTCAAGCTTTGCTTTCCTAATCTGTAAAATGGAGATGATAATACTCCCCTCATAGGGTTGTTTTTTTTTTTCTTCATAGAATTTCAAGTATTTCAAAAGAAGACAATGTTTCATAAATGTTTAGCACCAGTACCTGGCACATGGCTGAGTAAGTGAGTACCTAGGACTATTTATCCCCATTTGTTCTTACAGCCAGAGATGGTCAAGTAGATTAAAGATGGTCATATATTTTTTGACATTCCTCCCATCTATAAAATGAGGTTTATGTCTCCTCCTCTTAAACCTTGGTGGGCTCTGTGTCTGCTTGACCAATTGAATTCAGTGGAAATGACACTGTGCTATTTCCAGTCCTAGACCTTTAAGTGACCTGTAGCTTCCACTTACTGTCTCTTGAGATATCTGCTCTTGGACCGAGCCGCCATAGTATGCGAAAACCCAAGCATCCCTGGGAAGAGCTACATGGAGAGGAACTGAAACTCTTCCACCCCAATCCTCTGAACCAACACACCACACTGAGCTCCCAGCGAAGAGCCAGCACTAGTAGGCCAGCCATGTGAGTGGGCTTGGAAGAAGCTCCTCTAGCTGGGTTCCAGCTGCCCCAACTGATGCTGACTGGAAAGAGACAAGCTGTCCTTTCCAAATTGCAGCTCAGTGAGAAAAGTAATTGTTTTAAGTCACTAAATTTTCGGGTGGCTTATAACAGCAATAGATAACTAGAATAGATGAAATCATTTTCTCCTCCACTCTGAACTCATATAAAGCACTAGAAAGGGTGGGCAAGTTCATTTAGTCCAAAAGAAATAAGTGGTTTATAGAGAAAGTAGGTCATGAAGAAATCTGCTGAGTTTGCTTTGAGCTTTGTGACCAGTGCTGGACTTAAACAGAACTCACCCCAGTTATTCAGCAAACCTTTTTAGACGCCTGTCTTCTACTTGGTGCTAAGCAGAGTTAATACCTCCGAGAATGGATCTCCCCCTGGATACAAGAGTATCGTGATAACAATTTCTAGTTCCAGATCCCACTGATACTTACTTTACGTCCATTCAAAATGTCAATTCATTTAGGCTGGCCATCTGACCTTCAGATGAAACCTAAGCCATACCTTAAATCCCTGTAGACACGTACCACACATTTGGCCAAAAGGTATAATGCAACCGGAGACATAATGCCTAGTAGTCCAATCAAGAGAAATCAGCTCTAGGGAATCTTTTTTGCAAAATTTGGCAGTGTCGGAGCGGACTCTTCTCTGCGTTGTTCAAATAAGTTCTGTCAATTTTTATGTCGCCTAATTAGCCAAGAGACCAGTTAACTGCCTTATAATCTTTATGATGCGACTATGATCGCTGATGTAAATTACAACTTCCACTTATTGCGATGAGGCTTTCCTTCCACAAGAGGGAGTAACTGCCTTGCAAATCTGGTCTGCATTATCTGATTAAAAAAGCTAAGCAGTCGGCTTTCAAGAGATTTGCAATTTATAGTGTTCTTAAAACCCGCTTTAAACTACTTAGTCTTCCTTTTAAATCTTGTAATTTCTAAATGAGGACATCGAGGCCTTTGGCTTGGATTTCTTCCTCCATAAAACGGGGCGACGTGAGATTTAATCACCGCTCAGCGCGTGAACACGTCAGTGACCCGTTGAGCTTTTCGAGGCCCAGCTTCCCTTCGCGACCAGCTAGCCCTTTCCCTCACTTCCTTTCTCTATTTTTGCCCCGCCCTCACGTCAGGCAACGCGCGTCTGTCATTGGCTGTCGGGACCCGCGAGGCGGTGGAAGGGGTTGCAGTGACCATGGTAACGGGAGGCGGAGCGCGGCCCCGGGAGGTCGGTTATCGACGCAGGGCCTCTGCGGCTGCAGCGGCTCTTGCCGAGGCCTGGCGGGGTGTGGATCCCCAGCCGGCGCGTGGCTGCAGCCGGAGAACCTAAGGCGGTGGCCTCGGCGGCAAGACCTCCCCGATGCCGGCTGGGGCTCTGCGGAGCGGAACGGAGGCTGGGCCCGGGCCGCGGGCAGGGTAGGAAGCCGACGGGCCCGCTTGTCCGCGCAGGGTGGATGCGGTGGCGGCGGCGGCGGCGGCGGCGATGGACGCCTTAGAGGAAGAGAGCTTCGCGCTGTCCTTGTGAGTGACAACGCCCTGGAGGCCGGGGCACGCTGGCGCTCGGCCTTGGCCGTTTGAAACCGGAGTCTTCGCGGGGTGGGAGACCGCCAAGGCTCAGCACATATTCCCCGGTGTGGATTCCGCCGCTGCTGCGACCGCTGGATTTAGGCCCGGGACTGCGGGGCGGGTGTCGCGCATCTATCAAAGCCTCCATCACAATCCCCCCGCCTCTAATCTTTAGTCGTCAGCAGAGCCTGGCGGGTTTGAGCTGCCCAGGCCGGACCACGGGTTAGAGAACCCTCTACCACAAGGGGCTCCTGATCTAATTGCGCCCCAGCCCCGGCCGGTATCTCGCCCGCGCCCGCTTCACGCTCACAGATAGATAGGTGTGGGGTGATAGTGAAGATGCGGTGAGTAGATCCCGTGGGAAATAAATGCGGAGGAGTCTTAAGATGTCTCATGCGACCCTTTGCTGCTTATATTTGTCCTTTTTGTAATTGTTTCATATCAGATTTTCTGAAAATGGAACCATTTCATTCGTTTTTGATGTCACAGATGCGTTCAGTGTGTTTTATTCTGTTTGGAATTGCTAGATTAGACAATGATCATTTTAATTGTTGAAACTGAGTGATAGGTAGTTAATTTTGGTATTTTTTCTTTTGTGCATGTTTGAAAATATCCATAAATTTTTTTAAAAACGAATTATTTGAAATAGCACCTAATCCAGGCATATTTTTCAGCTCTTCCGCTTCTGATGCAGAATTCGATGCTGTGGTTGGATGCTTAGAGGACATTATCATGGGTAAGCGTCCTTGCCACAATCTGACCTGTGGACTGTTTAGTTCTTAGACCCTTGCTTTTAAGGACATTGAAATCAATTTAGTTTTTAAAAGAGGGAAAACATCAAGCTGCATATAATTTTAATGTAGCTCAATGTAATATTAAGCTTTACTGTGGTTTGTCTTAGAGGCAGACAACCCATTGACTCCTTAAAACAACTAACACCTGTCGATTCAGGAGTTGGGAAAGAACTTTCAGGTAATCGTGAACCCAGAAGTGATGGGGCTCCTGGCAGAACTTCAGGAAATACTGACCTACTTTATTTCAGAGACTAAGAACAATTTCGTTTTTTAGTTTTTAGTTGTAATAGTTTTGTGACATAAACCACAGCACAAATGTCCATGAAGAAAGCAAGGTCGTCATACTTTTCAGCTGGTTCTGTATTGTCCTAGATTATGAGTTCCTGTTTGTGGGTTCATTTTGGCATCCATAAGTCCTACTGAAAAGCAGTAACACACTAAAGGTTTAAGACAAGTATGTGGGAGAGAAAAACAAACTTGAGAAAGTTTTGTCTATTGATTTTAAGTTTTCTGAGAATTAGGAAAAGAACAGTTATTTGGTGTTATTAACATTGTTTTTTAGTCTAGTTTAGTCTGAAAATCACTGACCAAGTTTTTGTACCTTTGGGTCCAGTAAAGATTCATACCCTTAACCCTGTACATAGATGTTTGTAATTCATCTAAATTACACCTCGCAATCCTATATAATAGGTACAATGATAATCCTCGTTTTTCAGTCAAAGAAACCGGAGCTTAGAGAAATTAAGTAACATGCCCAAGGTCACACAGTTCTCAGTGGCTGAGATAGGATTTGAACCCTGGCAGTCTAGTCCCTGTCAGAGCCCATACATTTCTTCACTGCACTGTTGCCATCACTGCTGCTGAAATTATATTAAAATAAGAGAACCATTTCATTCCTTTATGGTAATGTGAAGGAGTTCCCACGCCGCCCTGTATGGGTGTGTGTAGAATAAACTGGATGATGGTGTTGGTTGCACAATGATGTGAAGGTTCTTAATGCCATCAAACTGTACACTTAACAGTGATCAAAATGGTAAATTTTATGTTGTGTGTATTGCATTACAATTTGGAAAATAGAAAAAGACCAGATTGGTCTGTTTCAACATTTAACACTTCACTGATATACATTTAGCTTTTCCTCTCCTAGAGACTGACCATTGAGAAACCAGTTCTGACATATAATTCCCGCCTATTTATAACTCAGAATTGGTTTTAGTCTCCATTCAAAAATAAATTTTCCTATTGTGGTTCAGATGACGAGTTCCAGTTATTACAGAGAAATTTCATGGACAAGTACTACCAGGAGTTTGAAGACACAGAAGAGAATAAACTCACCTACACACCTATTTTTAACGAATACGTAAGTAAATTTCTATTTCTCATACCAGAGACTAGGATTTCTTTAATCTCTGAAATTTGCTTTACTTTTAAAATCCCACCAGTACCCTGCCAGGAATAGTAATTAGAATCTGGTTTAGTTCTCATCTCCTGTTGCTTTCTTCCAATAGGCTTTTGAGGCAGTTTTCCAGATGTTTGATGAGTTAACTTCTATTTTAAAAGATATGTGGCTTTATCATAATCCTGCTTTCAGGTGCCCTTTGTGGGGACACCTTGCATTTATATTTGGCATTTGGACCTTTTGGCTTTCACAGTTTTTTTTCTATCACCTAATCCAGCCAGGTACGTGTGACTGTCAGGTAAAAGTGAAAACCAAGACCGAGATCACTAACTAATTGGTGGCAGAACCAAGACTAGAACCCCCAAACCTCGACTCTTGACCCTGGGATCTTTCCACTCTGCGGAAGGCCCCGGAGCCTCCTGGAACGATCTCATCTGTCTGAGAACGGGTTGGAGCGTTCAGGACTTTCTTTCCTTAACATGGAAGCTTGGCATAGGCAGCGCAGGTTTCCTAAAGCCAAGCCTCAGCTTCTAAGCCCCCTGCGATTGGACTGTAAGCTTTCGTGTCTGTTCTATTTGCACAGATTCCATCTGCGTAGGAAGAAAAGCCCCACTTCATTCCTTCCTTCCTGCCATGGGGGTGGCAGCCTGGCTGCTCTCTCTGCCTACCTGAGAGCATTCCTCTTAGCAGTGTAGTTACCTGTCAGTGCCTCTCTCCCTTGGTGGGCCAGGTCAGCTCCTCCAGAACAGGACAGGAGCTGTGTTTTGGTTCTTTGTTATCCCCAGCACTCAACACAGAGCCTGTCACATAAAATAGGCTCTTAGGACAAACTTTCTGAAAAGAAGTCTTGTTTTCCTAAAGCGCGTGTGGTCTGACAGATCCTTTCACTTCCAGATCTCTCTGGTAGAAAAGTACATCGAAGAACAGCTGCTGGAGCGCGTTCCTGGATTTAACATGGCAGCTTTCACGACGACTCTACAGTAAGTCGCGCTTCCTCCTGCTTCGGTTTGAAAAAAAAAAAAGACATTTTTTTTTTCAGTGCTTGGACATCAAGGCTTAGAGCACTAAGCGGTTAGGTCCTAGGTGGGAGGGCCCTCCAAACCTTCGAATGAAATCTTGAAGAGACAGAATCTGTTCCATCATTTATCATGAAACAGCATCCTTTTCTTCTGCAGGCACCATAAAGATGAAGTGGCTGGTGACATATTTGACATGCTCCTCACATTTACGGATTTTCTGGCTTTTAAAGAAATGTTTCTGGACTACAGAGCAGTAAGTCACTCTTAGCTGTTTAGTTAGCCATATTGAACCACATAGAAAGTTCCAAGTACTGTTGTTGAACAAACCACCTCCTGTGCTTCTCTCCGTAAGACTGGCCAGTAGCAACTAGCAGGTGTGAGAAAGGTGAGCTGCTGTCCCCCAGCTGGGACCTGGTTCCCTTACTGAGGAATTACATTCTCATGTTTTGATGAAACAGGTCCCAGGGACTCTTAGGAACTAATTCTGCCTTGCCTTTCATATAATACGGGCTCTTAAATAGGAAAAATAAATGTTTTCCAGTGAAGAGAGGTGCACTGTTTAAGCGTGACCAGGGCCAATGCTGAGCAAAATGGAAGTCATCTCCCCTTCCTGTGTGTGCTCCCTGGCGGTCCCACTCACCCTGGGAGCCTCCTTCCCAGGGCCAGGGTTCTGAGCTGGAAAGGACCTCTTTTCGATTCCTTGCCTCTTGAAGCTGTTGTTTTTCCTGTGTAGGAAAAAGAAGGCCGGGGACTGGACTTGAGCAGTGGTTTAGTGGTGACTTCATTGTGCAAACCATCCTCTGTGCCAGCCTCGCAGAACAATGTGCGGCGCTAGCTCCCCCCAGGCAGTGAGTGTGCTCGGGACTGTGGCAGCCCAGGATCCTGGGAGAGGCTGCGGCTAATGACGGAAAAATACATCTTGGAAAGACTAGCTCTGCTCTGCAACTTTTCATTAACGTTAAGTATTGATGGGTCAAAAAAAAAATTACCTGACCCTCCCGGGGCCAGTTTCTCCTGAAAAACCTTGTGTTCAGTAACCCTAGTACCCCTCCCCAAGCAGACACCCCTCTCAGGGGCCTCTGAGCTAGGCTGGGCTGGAGCAAGCCCCCAGCCAGCATTCCACCTGGGGGGCCCTCCCGAGCATACGCATCGGTGTGTCCGCACCCAGCACCAGCCCTTGGTCCCAGCGGGCTTTGCATGAATGTTTCTGTGCACTCCCAGCTTTTTCCATGTCTCAGTTTCGGTCCTTCAGCCTCAGTGGTGTTTTTGACTGTTGGGGAATCTTCATCTAGGATGTCACTCAAGCCAGCTGCCTGTCGATATTTCCAGCGCTCCTGTCACCACAGCTCGTCCGGGCTGTAGGAATCAACTGAGAGAGACGTCCTTTACCTGAAAGCTACGTGTGAACATCAGTTCCTAGTCTGACATTTGCAGTCCTTGTATCACCCTATCTTCTGCTGGTCCTAATGTAGTAGTCCCTGTTTCTAGAACCCTCTTTAAACGTTTTTGAAAAAATATTTTTATAGATGAATACTCAGGCTAACTCAGTGGATATAATCTTGGAATTTCCACGATTACCCACTTAAAGATCAAAGTATTATATGCTGTGTGCTTTTTAGTTGTTAGTGCTGTGAAAGCAAAAACGCTCTCTCTGTTGGCGTTCCCGTTTTCCCGGGCACCAGTGAGTGTGCGCTCGGCCCGGAAGGAGATGAATGGTATCCTTGTCTTAGAGCATGTTAAGTGTTTATGCCGTTTTGCTTAAAACCCTTTCTGTACAAACTAGTTCGTTAGGTTTTCTGTCGGGGTTGGGGCTCTGCAGGTCCTTCATCCTGTCAGACACTTCCTACCAAGGTGGGGTTTTCCTGGTCATCTGTCTGCTTTGATTTAAAATACTGGCTTAGTACAGTGTTTGACAGAACATTATCGACCAGAAAACAGGGACATCACATCTCTAGAAAGAAGGAAAAACATAGTAGTTCGATTCCCAGTGCGTACCTTAAGATTTTTTTTTTTTAAGTGAAGAATCTACTCATTTTTCATTGGCTATTCTGATTGTAAAGAGCTGTATAGGCTGTGATTTCTGTACTGATGTGGCGCTCATTAAACACTTTTTGTATTACGAGTAAAATTTGAGGTGTTTTGTAAAAATCATGACTCTAAACAAGTCATCTTTGCTACAGCCGCCGCCATCGCGTTAGTACTGCTTTGGTCTTTCAAGCCGAAGGCTCTCAGAGTCAGCCTTTTGAAATGCTCCTTCTCCTGGGCTTGCTTTCTCCCCTTATTCTTTTTATCAGTGGGACTGCCCAGTTCAGGCCGGGCATATCGGAAGCACTCGATGAAGACTCATTGGTTGGTCCACCAGGTTGAGAAAGGTCAGGTGGACAAGTCCAGAAATGAAATTATGAAAAAAGAATGAGAAGGCAAACAATTCTTTTCATCCTTTTCCACTCAGAGGAGGAAACAGGCAAGCTTGTTGTGGTTTAATATTATTAGATTAAGCCTTCCAATTTCTTTTAAAACAAACTAGAAATCTGTCCCTCCATCCACACTGGAACTTATGTCATCACGTGCTACCTGGGGCTCAGGCCCGGCTTGCCCAGCCTCAGGAGACAGTTGCATTCTCTTATTGCCAAGCTCTTCTCGCCCATGGAACATGATATTCACCCAGGCTGCAGGGCCTGAGGGTTGGGTGGGAGAGGCACTGGCCAGAACCGAAGGTGGTGGTTTGACTAAGCTTGTTAACGGCTCTGCTGAAGCAGGCTCTGTATCAGGGTGTCGGAAACCTCTAGGACTTACCTAGCCCTTTGGTTTTTTTTCTAAACTTCAAAAGAAAATGGGTTGATCCTTAAAACTAAACACTCCGATGGCTTAATCCTGGAATGACTAATTTACTATTCAAACTGAGATACTTGAGAATAAAAAGGAATTCTGTTAACACTTATGCCAGGATAACAGGCATAGGCTGGGCCTGTCCCAGGCTAACTGGGCATGGGTATCCGACTTAATCCCCATCCCTTGGTAATGGGGTAGCTCATCCACAACAGTTTGAATCGAGTTACATTTTAATTGTTCCCAGTTTTCAAAAAAGGACCAAGGGGTACCCAGAAATGCCTTTGGCTTATTATTCAGAGCATATTTCTCTAGTGGTAGAAAAATAAGTTTTAAAAGGACCCTCACCCCTACCATCTCTACCAGCTCCATGTATCAAGCATGGCCACTCACTATGATTATATGATCTCCGAACTTCCAACTTTATTTAAAGGCAGGTGACATATCAATCTTAAGTTCAACAAGATGACTTCACCTGCCTAAAGCTAGGATGCTAAATGCTTTATTGTTAAGCTGGGACCCTTTTGAGAATAAAAAGAGATGCTATTAAATTTATGCCAGGACAAAAACAACGTAAACTGAGCCTGTGCCAGGCGAAGCAGGCAGGAAGTTCGTGGGCCTACCTCGGATCACAGAAGTGGCTGGTGGTGCTGAGTGACTCCAGAACAGGAATTGCACTATCGTGGGCATTTGGAACCTTTGTCCTGTTGTACCCTGCAGCTTCCTGGCGTTTATAACCATCCACAACCACAACTCTCCAGCACCTTTTCAAATAAGTTCTTCCATCTTTATTTGTGTAAAAAAACAACAACAAAGTCACCACCAAGCACAGGACAACTCACCAGGCAAGGTCTTGATTCTCCCTCCTCCATGTCCCATGTGCCTAATCAACAGTGTCAGAAAGCAGTTGGTACCGGCGTTAGCTTTTCCCAGGGGACGATTACAAACACGAGCTTGGGAAAGCGAGGGAAGCCCCGATGGGATTTCATCACTGAGAAGTCACTTAAAACCAGTTTGCTTTGGACAACCGGTGTGTTTGATACGCAGGAAAGGAGACCGTGCCATCAGAAATGTCTCCCTACAAGCCACATGTTGGCTTGGGGGAGGGTCAGGTCGGAATAGTGTTTTAAGGGATCAGAATGCTTTCATAAGCCCACTCGGCACTCCGGAACCAAGACCACAATAAAGAAAAAATCATGCTGCTTGTTAGGCTTATTCTGTGGTGGGGCAGGGGCTGCAGGTCTGGAGTCCTGTCCTTGTTAGTGTATTTAGTGCTGGTGAGAAGGCTGGGCCCAGCCTTGGTCATTGAAGTCCTCTAAAGACAAAGCAGAGGCAGGGAGCCCCTCCCTCCCCCGTCACCTGCTGCTGAACAACGTGGGTGGGAAGGAGTCTCGGCCGCTGGCCTGTCTCCAGCCCATGTGCGTGCCGACTTGGGCCAGTCAGAGGAAGGTCCGGATTCCTCAGGAGTGCCGGCTGGGCCTGCGTCTGATGGTCAGAAGAGCAAGTGTCGTCCCTTCTGAGCTGACTCCACGGGCTCAGGCCTCGGGCTTGCGGGGCCACCCTGCACCGTGACCCAGCTGCAGCCTTCAGCCCCAAGGCAGGCCGTGGCACGGGCATTTAGGAGTAGCCACCAGCCATCTGACTGGTGGCTGCATTGCTGCCCACTCCTCGCCAGGCCTGGAAGCTGAAGAAAGCACTCACTCCATAGGCAATCATCACTAAACACGAAAAAAACTGAAAGAGAAGAGAGCAAAACTGAGTCGTCCGCAGCATGGCCCAAGGGAGGGGTGGTGACAGTAATAAAAGCACCACGTGTACAGCTTGGGACAGGCTGACACTGAAACCTAGGGCCCCTCAATTAACTGAGACCAGTCGCTCTGGCAGCCACACCAACTGCTACTTAACCATACACTCATTTGACATCTAATTGTTGGGGGGCTGACATTGTATTCAAGTGGGAGAAACCGTTAACCACACAGGCAAGGATGTTAGACTGTGATGAGGGCAACTGGATAATGTGCTAACGAGCGACAGGTAGGACCCGCTTGAGACCCATTCCAGGGATTTCGTTTTAAAAAGAACATTCAAAAGCGACCCTAGGAATTTTCTGGAATCAGTTCACAAGTGCCCTACACTAGTACCTGTGGCTGCATTCAGAAGCCCCATGTCTCAATCCCGTCAACTGAGTTCACTTATTTCAAAACCATCCTCACCAGGAAGAGCGCAGGAACCCAGTCCTGGTCTAGGTCCTGCCTGGCCCCGGAAATCGTCTAGGGTGTTGCTTCATCTCAGAGCCTCAGTTTCCTTCCCTGTCAGATGGGACTGGTACCCCCTGTCCTCATTGGGGACTCAGCATCCTGTGAGGAAATGTCTACAGGGCCTCGTGGAATGAGATGTGGCAGGCGTGTGTGTGTTGGGGGGGGGGGCCTGGTTCACTGTTCACTGCCTATTTGACGTGCAGCCTGTTTAGACTCTATGGGAGAGCCTGTGAATGCCCCAAAATGGTCTAAACCAAAAGGTCTTTGCATGTGTCCCTTTGAAGGTGGGGGGTGGGGCAATAGTTTTTAAACAGATTTTCCAAGGACGTACATGACCCCAAATCAGTGTGCCACATCTGATTTACGGCAAAGTTCAACGGTTAACCCCAAACCCATTCACCACCACAAGGAGTCTCCCAAGCATTCTACTTCCTCAAGGTTTTACCGTTAACATGGAAGACTGAAAGCCTGGCTCCTCTGAGACCTGCTGAGATTAGGATGAGAACTCAGGAGGTGGCAGCTGCCTGGAGCAGTGGGGGTCCAGGGGCACAGACCTTGCTTTGGCCAGTCCCCTGTGACTGCCAAGGGCGCCCCGGGAACCATACTCACGGAGGCAGCTGCACGCTGGTTGTACGGCCTGGTGCCCTTCAGAGACGTCGGCTCAACCGCAGCAGAGCAGGTGATGAAGGCTGTGATGTAGAGAACGGTGGCTCCCACGTTGAATATCATCAACTGGCGGGGGGAGGGCGGAACAGGCTTAAGACATGAGACTTCCAGTAACTGGAACCCCCTGGTTCCCACCAGCACACCCCTTAGGAGCCAGAATGGGCTGGGGCTTGAGGACTGGACTTTCCCACTAAAAGGGCCTTGGGAGGCAGCAGTCTGAGGCCTTCTGAGCAGGGAGCGTAAACACACCCAAGGCTGAGGGGAGGGGAAATGGTGGGAAGGCTTGGTTAGGGGCAGCGACAGTCCCAGCAGGCGAAACCCATTCCCGGTGGCGGGAGGTCCAGCGCAGACCTCTGAGTGCAGCAGCTGAAGAGCCCCGGGCTCCTCCTGCTGGCTCGGGGCCAAGCCCAGCTTCCCCCTCCACACACCCCCAAATCCCGGCCTGGCCGTTGCCACACCTGGCTCTGAGGCCAGCCCTAGGAGGGGGTCTCCTATCCCTCTCTGGCCCCAGAGGGAGGAATCTGTCTGCCAAAAGGCCACATCCTAGTCTCAAGGTCCCACATCAAATGTCAGGGTGAGGACCCAGAAGGAGCCCGAGCTGGGCCCGGAGGAAGGCCCTCAGCCGAAACTGGGCCCAGGTGCCACTTCCCCACCGCCTGGCCCCTGAAGCCAGTTAACTGCAGACTGGTGGCCCTCGGACATATTTGGTTCAGTCCATAGATTGTTTTTTAAATTACCAACATTCTAAAATGAGGTTTCATATGAAAACCTGAAGATTTCATAAAAACTTTACATCTTAAAATATCAGATTTGGCACCAGGGGGCCTGCTTCCCCACCAACGACGGCGGACTGAGCGGAGGTGGCTTCCTACAGGCAGCTGGAGGCTGGGCTCTCCTGAACCCCCTCTTCCCACGTCACATATCTTGCCTGCCCTGCAAGGGAGCGTGCAGCCCCCCCATCCCAGAAAAACCCCAATTTGGCAATCCCAATCCAGCCATCTCTAGATGCAGGCGAGCCCTCCCTGCTGAGAGGTCCAGGAGTGTAAGACACCACCCTGCCATCGCGGCCTGGGAAAGGAGTCGCCTGCCACCCACGGCAGGGCTAGAGCTGTGCTGAGGGGCACCAAGGCCCCTCCATCTCTCGAGACGTGGGGCAGGGGCTGGACCCCAGCCAGGGAGCCAGGCCACCCCCTCCTCACCCCGGGATCGTCCCTCCAAGCCCAGTGCCCGCCGCAAACATCGCCTGGCTCCTGCGAGTGATGTCAAGATCTAACAAACCACTTCTGTCTTAAGGATGACTCACGTTTCCTCAGTGTAAAAAGTCATTGAATTCCAAACAATGCTGCCTAGTCCCAGCCTTGCTTGTCTTACAATCATGTGCCTCTCTCTCCTCTCTGCTCACTGAAAGCCTCAGACCCCAGCTGCAGGGGTTTTCCGGGTCAGAGAAAAAAAAACCAGCACTTTCTCTGTGTCCGGCCCGGGTACTTCCTACGGACGCGCTCAGCCCTGTGTCCTGAGGAGACTGACCTGGGTAAACCTGGGACGCCACCCTCTCCGGGGCTGCAGGGGCCTCACTCTGGAGGCAGCGGGTGGCCAGCCCTGTGGCGCCGGAGCCCGTCCCGCACACACTGGACCCGGCCTCCAGGCCCAGGGCTGTCTGTCTGGGCCCAGCTGGATCAGAGACCCTCTGCAACACAGGTCCGAACTCCGACATCCCCCCAAAAAGGCAAAATATTTTCACGACTCCGAATGGCCTCCAGTCTCTCCATCCAACAGCACACTTCTGCTCACTTCCCCGGAGAAAGGCAAGCCTGTGTCCTCCCTGGCTCAGGCTCCCAGTGCTGAGAAACGTTGGACACCCAAGCCATCAGCCCCTCCCCCACCCAGCTCTGCAGGCCTGCTGAGGGCCAGTGAGGACTGCAGCCAATCCCACCCCGCCACGTCCCACTTAGGGAAGGTCACACTGTCACAGCTACTCCCAGAGGCAGAGGGCTTGGCCTGGAACCACCTCCAATGTCCCCACCCAGACTTACCACCAGCGGCCAGGGCACCATGTACAACTTCATGTGCAGCTGAAACAGGTAGATGACAAAGACGACGATTGTCACCAGCCAGAGGAAGACAGCGACGAACATTACCCAGCCATAGGCTGGGTACAGGTGGTACGGGGTGTCGGCAATCAGGGCCCATACCAGCAGCCCCAGTACCTGGAGGGGTGAGACAGAGCCCCCAGCATCAGTCAAGTTGAGGGCCACAGACCAGAGGCCTTTGCCATAACGCTCCCTCTGCAAGACACATACATTTCTCATTTAGTCAAGAAATATTTATGTAGCTCCTGCTGCACACCACTGTATACCAAAGCAAGGCCTTGCCTGGTAGCTTCTTTCAGGTCTCAGCTGAAATGTTTCATGCTCCAGGACACCATCCGCTCTCCTCCAGTCCGGGTTCCAGAACCCTCTTCTGTGCTCCTGCGGCCCCCCAGGACTGGAATTGTTTCCTTCCCCAGACTGAGCTCCCCGAGGGCAGAACGACTGTCTCACTCAGAGCTGGGTCCCAGCATCCAGTACAGGAACCGGGTCCTGCCAAGGGCTTAGTAAAAGCTGCTGAAAGAAGTCACCAGCATGTTCCTGAGGAACAGACAGGCACAGACTCCCAGAGGTGGGAAAATGAGCAGCCTGTGTCCTCTGGGTGACCTCCACCTGGTGCCCCACCAAGCCCTCTCCACCCCACCTTCTCTGATTCTAATTGCCCCGCCTTACAGGTGAAATCGAGCCTCAGAGAAGCCAAGCTGTCACCCTGTTCCCAGGTAGTAGGGTGGGCCCTGGCAGACAGTGTGTGTAGCTACTAACGGCATGGACTCTGGCAATGGCTGCCTGCTTTAAAACCTCCCTCCCCTTACTGAGTGACCTTGTGCAAATCTACAACCTCTCTGTGCTGTGGTCATCTCATCTGTCAAATGAGCATAATGATCTCATCGGGCTGCCTTAAGGACCCAGGAGTTCACGTACGTATGACAGAAGCATTTGCTTTTATTATTCCCAGCTGGGTACACTGCACCTGCCCCAGCCCTCTGGGCCACAGGATTCTACGCAGCCCTCGTGGGGACGCCTGGGGGACCATGGCAGGGTGGGCCTGGCAAAGGGTCTGCTGAGGCAGGGAGCTCGGGAGGCCCACAGCTGCACCTCACATCCTGGCCTCCCTCACACCTCTCCCACCCCCTTCCTTGCTGGCCGAGATCCCCCAAGCCAGGCCGTCCTCCTCCTCCCCAGGGGCATTCTCTGCAGTCCCTGGTCAGCCAGGCATGACTCGAGTTGGTCACTGAGGGGAGGCGGGGTAGGTCTACCATGGGGCTTCGGAGAAAGGCTCCGTTGCTGATGAAGAAAGAAAGAGGCTCTCCTTTCCCCTGTGCGGCATCCAGGCGTGTGGCACCAAGGCTCACAGCAAGCCCGTCACCAGCCCGAGATGTGCCAACCCTCAGTCAGATCACAGAAGAGTGATTCAAGAGCAAAAATCTCTGGCTGCTGGTTTTGGGGGACAAAAAGTTCCGCTGGCAGCTCATCCCAGCTGACGTGCTACCGCAAGCTCCAGGACCAGACTTACTTAAGGGCTCATGACCCAGAGATCGCCAGAGCTGGGTGCCTGCCAGACACCCCATGTAAAGCACCCCACCAAGACCAAAGAGAAGTTTCTGTATCGATCCCCCTATCTGTGGGGTCTGGACAAGAATGACCTCAGCTGAGCGGCCCAGAATCCAACAGCCCCTCTGCCGACCCTCCTCTTCCTGCCCCTCCCTCACAAGAGGCTGGGGAAGGTGTAGCTTCTCTTTCCGCTGCACCATGGGTAAGGGGTGGGGCGGAGCCCTGGGCCTGGGAGTCCCGAGCTGGGTTTCAATCCTATCTGTGCTGTGTGACGCTGGGCAAGCACCTTCCCCTCTCTGTGCGGCTCACCCGGCCGACTCTGGCGAGGGCCGCCCACTAAAATACAGGACCCCCGAGGAACCCTGTTTTGTTCACTGCTGTATCCCCAGTGCCCAACAGCACACAGTACCTGCTCAGTAAATATGTGCTCAGGAGCTAACAGGTCTAAATGTCCTTATCCATGAAACGGGGGTCGAAACCCTGCCCTGCACAGGTGCTAGCGACTAAAAGAGGAAGCAGGTGTAAATCAGTGAATCTGCTCCTCTAACCACCACAAACAGTCTGGCGGTGGCCCATGGCACCCACTCTACAGACAGGCAAGGTGGGCCAGGGAGCAGAGCCTTGCCAGTAGTCGCACAAGCTGGGGACAGAGCCCTTACCAATGAGGACCCAGAGCCAGGGTGTCTCAGCACAGGCCACCCCACACACCCTTTACCACCCGTCCTTAGGACACCCTGCCTGAAACAGACACATCGGGGGGCCAAGAGCCTCCGGAGCTGGGGGAAGTAACTGTTCTTAGCAGCATGTCCTGGGACCCTCCCAGGTGAGAACTGGACATGACAAACGATTCTCTTTTTCCTTAACGCGGTCCTCGCAGGCCTCTATGCACTGTGTTGCCTGGTTCCAATTCTCTGAAAGTAAATTAGAAAATGCAGTGGACTAAAAATCAAGAAAAGACCAATTCAGGTTTACGCTAATGCGCACGTATCAGTTATCAGTGCTATCACTCATAGACTCAGTCCCAGTAACCACTTAATGCCCTCCAGCTGTGTGCCGGGCCTAAAGGAAGCACCTCCCCTCTGATTTCACCCATTCCCCCATACCCCTCTCATCACACTATTTATCATCTCCATTTTCCAGACAGAAGCTCAGAGGGAAATGTGCCCGCGGTCATTCATGGTCACCTGGAAAGAGCAGGATTTGAACCCAGATCGGTCCTTCTCTGGAACCTAGGCCACTAGAGTTACTCAGTGATGCGTGCAAAATGAGGACAACCAGCTGGCTCCGAGGGCCAGGCCCCACGGGCACCCAGGCTCCCCCGTCCCTGCCCTGCCCTCCAGCCCAGCCCGTTTCCAGATGAGCGAGCGCAGCCTCTGGGAGCTGAAGCTGCTGGATGAGCAGTGGGGATCTCTACTGTTCTGCTGCCCTGGCCTTGTCCCCAGGGGGCCGCCTCGGTTTCTGCCCTAGAACAAGGAAGGTCCATTCCACCGTCTGAACCAGACCGACTGTTTTTTTCCCTGTCTCCTCTCTCCCAGCCCCAAGAATCTGAAGGGAGGACCCCCACGCAGGGCCCCATGGAGACCAAGCTCAGGACAGGGCACTCCCACGTTCGCTGACCCCTCTCCTGGCCTGGGAGGTGCTGCAGGGGAGGCTGGGCCCAGGCTTCGTCTCCAAAAGCTGCGGGAGCTGCTGGCCTCCTGGCTGTGGACCCATGTACTCTCGTGGGGAGAAGGGACCCGAGGACTTGTCTTATGCATTCGACAAACACCTGTTGAGCACCTACTGCGGTGTGACTGAAACAGACAAGAAGCCCTGCTCTCGTGGAGCTGCCACCCTGCCAGGGCGAGCCAGCTCGGAACCCAGGATGCGAGTGAAATTCCAGTGGATCTCAGGGTAAGTGCCATGAGGGGGAAAATCCAGCCGAAAAGGGATAAGGAGCGCGGGAAGTGGGGTCACTCGCAATTTTAGATACGAGGTCAAGAAAGATCTCACCGGGAAGGGGACATATGAGCAAAGGCGGGGGGTGGGAGAGAAGGGAGGGAGTTGTGTGGGGAGGAGCAAATCTGTGCCTTTATATCTGGGACCCTCTCTCTGTAGGTGTCTACGCATACATCTGCGTGTCTTACTCTTAGACACACGCACGCACACACGCGCACGCGCACACACACACACACGCACACAGAACCAAACCTCAACCCCTCACCTGTTCTAAACTTTCCGAAGCCCCTGAAATGCCTCATTAGCCAAGCACTACAGATAAACAAAGAGAACTGTCTGGGAACCTCAAAGGTACAGGCCTTTTTTTTTTCTTTTTTCCTGAAAACTTCAAAATTTGGGGATAGGGATTTTCTCTTTTAAACAAGGACTGTGAAAAAGGACACGTTCCTACGTGCCCCAGGACCTTGGCACCTCCAAAAGAATTTGTAAACAATTGGATAACAGATATTTTTGTTGAAAATCACCTGCAGGATCAGAGAGGAGAGAGAATTGTCACAAATGCCAGACCAAGAGGCATCCTCGATTAGGGAAGCCCTGATCTAGTGACTGGTGTCTTTATAAGTGGGAAATTGGACAGACACAGGGCTAATGTCATGTGACGATGGAGGCAGAGATTGGAGTGATGTGTCTTCAAACCAAGGTATGCCAAGGATTGCTGGCAAACACCAGAAGCTTGGAGAGGGGCATGGAACACACGCTCCTTCAGAGTCTCCAGAAGGAATTGACTTCGCCAACAACTTGACTTTGGACTTCTAGCCTCTAGAACTGTTTCAGAGTCTCCAGAAGGAATTGACTTCGCTAACAACTTGACTTTGGACCTCGCTAACAACTTGACTTTGGACTTCTAGCCTCTAGAACTGTGCGAGGATGAGTTTCTGCTGTTTCAAGCCACCCAGTTTGTGGTACTTTGTTGTGGCTGCTTTAGGAAACGAATGTATATCTTTCTTAGCTACTACTCTTTGCATCTGCGGGTGGATGTCACGATCTGACTTAACTGTGATGCCGGCACCAGTTCCGATGGAAGCTTGGCCTACTACTCACTTACTCTCTGGGTTCAAGCTCTGGTCCTGCCCACTTACTAGCTGCATGGCTTTGGGCAAGTTGCCGAACCTCTCTGTGCCTCGGTGCCCTCAACTTTGAAGTGTGCCTACCTCATGGGGTAGTTCTGAGATATTAATGAAGACATATTGATAAGGTACTTAGACCAGCACCTAACAGAGGCTTAACACTCAAAACATGTTCTACCGTCATTATCACTCCGAGAAGTTAGAATGTAGGTTTTCCAGTCCATTCTCTGTGTCTGGTTTCCTCAGGTCTGAATAGTGCCTGCAGTTCCTAGGGGTGTGAGGTCATGGTGAGATAATGAATGTATCTAACCTTGAGCACCAGGCCCGGAGCCAGGGCCCAGCAGATAAGGGCCCTATGTCAGTGCGGGCCTCACCCATCTTTCAGATAAGGCAGATGTGGGCTTATCGGAAGGAGAAGTCCTCAGAAGTCCACCCGCCCAGCCCTAGGACACCTCCTGGAGCTGCACTTCTGCTGCCTCCGGTCCGGGCAGAAACCCGTTACCCCTGTAGGCCTCGGTCTTCCTCTCTGTATAGTGGGAGCAGGGAGGCTACATCCACTGTTCTCCAAGGAAGCCAGACACTCAGTACAGGCCTCGTCCAG